AGATCAACGCGTGTACTAAAGTTCAACGAAACACGTGTCAAGCAACAATCATGAAATCAGAAAATTCCAGATGAAGTAAATAAAATGGGCGAATGTCAACAAAACAACCTTTAGCCATCTTAAACAGCGACGCAGCGGAGGCTTACTTACCACCAAACAGTTCTTGTACAGATCCAAACGCTGAAGGCTGGCGAGCTGACCAAAGTTACCCGGTAATGCCTTCAGAAAATTTTGACTCAGATCAAGTACAACGATGCGACGAAGCAGTGGAGCGAAGTCGTTCGTAAGGGCGACCAGATGATTCGAAGATAAGTCGATTTCGGTCACCTTTTTCAACTGAGCCTGAAACTTTGCGTTCAAATGGCGAACAAGAAGTACTTGAAAAATTTTTATACGATTTCCTTGACGGGAACCTCGGAAATGTTCGAAAGACTCAAGTCCAAAAGGTTATCTTCCACGTAATGTTTCAGTTCTTCAACGGTTCTAGCCATTCCAGGTCCCCTCTGCACGCATATAGTATTTTTCTTGACTGTGCGCAAACTCAGGTAACAACTCAAAGGCAGGGAAATTACGGTAGAATTGAAAACAAGGCTGTTTGCTTATATGCTTCAAATTAGCAGACAAGCGTAAAACCTTCGGCGAATTCGCAAAAAATCGTTAACTTTCCACATTCCACAAATATCGAGAAAACATGATGCATAGCCTATTTTGTAAATTGCGATATCCGAAAAAAAATTTTTCACATCATATAGAATTCCAAGAAAAATCGCCATTTTCAAACAAACTCAATAAGTTCGTTTCAATATGTTAGTCTGAACCCCGCTGTTGCCAGTCTCATGCTCGGGGGAAAAAGGAGAAATGCATGAGACCTTAGCGAAATCTCCATAAAACTCAGCCACTTAATCCTCATAATATTACCGTTATCGAATATTTTACCGACTCGATCGTAACCCACTTTACCAAGAGCCGGGCAGACCGTTCGAAGTCTGAGACATCGGCTTCTTCTAGTTGGAAGTATACTGCACAACAACGGCTGCCGAATACCAACGAAACGACGACGAAAACATCAATCAGCAACGGAATCGCTACCCTATCTGAACGGAGGAGACAGACAGCTATTACAGCACGTCAGATGAGGCTACAAGGGAACGACACCACAGTACAGTGGAAACTGAACATATCCTTACTCAGAGTGAAAGTGCAGGAGCTAAATGATCAGGCCGCAAGTTAACTACTCGGCATTATTGGACTCTCGTCAAAGAAGCGTTAGGACTCGATAACATAGAACCTTTGCGGGTGGAAGCTACTCTACTCAGATGCTGACATTATGCCGAGCGCTCAGGCCGCTATAAAGTCCTAGTAATCCAACATGTCTGACACAATCATTCAATGGTAGCCGGTCAACGGAAGAATGGCTGTTTTACGATTGAAGCTATGAACCACTTAAGCTTTGATCATGTTGCATCTATGCATTCAGTTTGGCGGAAAAATATCATTAAATCCTTGAGGAAGTGGAGTATGCCCTATAAGAAACGCCGACTACAGAAACCATCATTGTAATGGGCTATTTTAATACTCAAGTCAGAGCAGACAGCGAAAAGTGGAGAGGCAAAATTGGAAATAGCTGCCCTAGCTACGTCAATAATAATGGCATGAATTCGTAGTAGTTCTGTGTAAGCAAGCAACTGTTTTTTATGAGTACCTTCTTCCAACATCGACGAGTGTATCACTCTATCTAGTGCAGGTAAGCTTGAACTGAAGTCGATGATCGATTTGATAGTCATATCGCCTGACTTACAACGCTCGGTAATGAATGTTTGCGTTAAAAGGAGATAGCTGTCACTCTATCACAACCTTGTTGCTGGAATACTACGCTGTAAAAAATGGACTGTCATGCGAAAATCTGGCGGAAGAGCTACCAGAGAATCAAATCGGAAACATTATCTTCGGCACGCACGAGATCAAAACTTGTAAATAACATTGCGCAGAGGTTTGAATGGGTCCTGATGATAACAGCTGATATGGAAACAGAGTTGAAGCTTTTTGAGAGCGGCATATTCGGGGCTGCTGCCTAATGCTACGGATTGAAACGGGTTTGCCTGCTCTTGGAAATACGAAGAAAATTTCCAGGATGGACTCTACAGGAACAAATGCCGATTAAAAAGAAAATGGCTCCAATCAAAAAATAGCTTGAAATCAAAGAAGCTTAAAGCTCAGATGCGATATGTAAAAGCGCAGAAGCGGTAATGAAAGTTGTGGCCAAAGCCAATGATGATTCCTGTGAGAAATTCTGTGAGATATTGGAGTCGGATTTCCAAACGACAAACAAGGTATTCTGTCTGAAATTTCGCTGGCTCCGAGGTGAAGAGGAGGGCAGTCTAAGAGTCTTCATGGACCAGGCTGGAAACCCATTTGCCGGGGAAGAAAACATTTTTCGGCAATGGAGAGAACACTTTGAGGAATTCCTTAACTCCGAACAACCGCAGGAAGACCCTCTCGTAAAACATATTGCTATTTCTGTAGATGAAACCACACAAACTTTGATAAGTTTGAAAAGTAAGAAGATTGCCGGAATTGATGAAATCCGTTCTGAAATGCTGTAACGAACAGGCCAATAATGCATGTGTTAACTTATGCATGTCTGTCAAACCGCAATCTCAATGGGTAAGACACCAGCAGACTAGAAAACCGGAGTTGTAGCACCCCTTTATAAGAAGGGAGACAATAAGGAGTTCTTCAATCATCGAGGCATTGTTTTAATGAGCTTCCCGGGTAATATCTATGAAAAGGTGCTAGAAAAAAGTGCCGCAGAAAAGCTGACTTCAAGATACAAGAATAGCGGTTCGGCTTCCAGCCCGACCGAAGCACATCTGACCAGTTCTTTGCCCTACACCAGATTGTTGAGTAATTATTGGAGTTTGCTCATATGCTGTACATGCGCTTTGTCGATCTAGAGAAAGCCTATTTTAGAGATTCCGCGCAATAAGTATGTTTGCGACACAAGAAACCGATGGTTAGTTGCTGCGAGTCACCAAATCAGTGAACTCTGATAGCAGGTGTTGCATCAGAGTAAATGGCGCCAACTCTGCGTCCTGTCCCCTCTTATGTTCGGGTTGCACGTGGATAGAATAGCCATGCGCAGCCAAGGCGATGAGTGTATCATTTCCGATAACCATTCTTTAAAAACATTCTATATACATTTTAAATCTTTGAGCCTAGGTCGGAAGTGATGCAACATTTTTTTGGGTATATGATAATTCATTTCCCCGCTCTTAATTAACAGTTTAAGCGGCACTAATGAAGTTCCGGTGTTTATCTCCTGTGTTTCAGGCTAGGCAATAATGGTTAACTGGTTCAAAAGTATGTTTCTAGGTAACATTCTATTCACTGGAAGCCGCATGCAACCGAGTTATTGGAATATTTGCGAATCCAACAGTTATGCATCTGATAGGCAGCATTTCACCAACCCGGGCTAAGCTCTTTTATCTGGGAAGGACAGATACCAATGAAAGTGTCCGCATTTTGTACGTAATGAGATAAACTCAGATGTTAGACTTATGAGGAATAACAAAGAAAATTGACGAATGAGCATTTCAGGGAACGTTAAGACGGAAGCGCGTGCATATTAGCTTATTAAGGAATAAACAGTTTCAAATGCAGATAGACCAAAAATTACGAATGTATATTTACCAGAAGTATCCGAGTTTTGACGTGACAATAAAGTGGATTTGTTGTCAACGGGACAGTAAAAACAAGTAAATCCTGACTTGAGATTCGATCAAGATTGAAGAAATAGAAACCTTTACAAAATATACAAAATTGTACACAGTGAAAGAGAGACAAGCAAGAACATCACAGAGCGTGTGACAGGTCAACTACTGGCATAACATAAATAGCTATTTCACGGATTCGCTAAAAAAATGTATGGAAACATAATGAAGGCGATGTGATATGGCGTGCATGATCAATAAGCACGCAGTAATTTGGGATTTTAGAGCTTAATTGAGACGAAAAATTGGCATCATATGTATCATGTTTCAACAGAAACATTTTCAGTTTATTTGCCTTGGAACAATTATTTTACCTTTCACTAGGTCGTTTTTCTTTCGTTCCAGGTCATTCCTCCGAAATGCTGAGAAGAGCTACGGCTACATGTATATTGTTTCATATTCATCTAGAATCCCATGTTTACTGGGCTGACTTAAATTCAACTTATATCATACTGTGAGTGTTGTTGAAATGGTGAGAAGTTGCCTTCGAAATCTGGAAATGATCACTTCGAATCTACGGAAAAAAAATCTGTAAAGTTATTAATTCTTAAGGCAAGAATGCGATCCAGCAGCCCACAGGTATTGTTTTGTTAAGATTACCATCAGGAGCCGTCCGTTAAAATATCACGTCTTCAGTTCGGAATCGCAGTTTTTCAACACTTTCGCTATATGCCGGTTACTGCATCGTATAAACACATATGCTTTGCCAAAAGGTTTGCCTTTTTCTAAATTCTGTATGCTGTACTAACCTGGTTTGTTTCTCTACATCTACTGAGATAAGGTGTCCAGGAGAGAACGCAGGGATTTGTAACTTGGTGACACAGTTTAGCAATCAATGTGCGTCGAATCCAACCCAGGAGCGCTAGTTTAGTCATGGATGGATTCTTGTAGAAAGAGCTACTATATTCCCAGCTCAAGCATTCGACAGGTTACCAAAATTGCGCAAAACTAAGCCCATTCTCCCATTCAAGTTCTGGCAAGATGGCGTCGAGACATTGAAGTGTTAGAAGCATATGAACGAACATGCGCAAGAACACAAGCAAACACGATGCCGCAATAAGGCTAGAGTAGTAAAAATAATTTTGGTTTATCTCAACAGGCTCTGATTAGATAAGGAAATGAGTTGTAGTTGACATTTTTATCTTCTAGTACATTTGGATTCATGCAGGATATTTGCATGTAGTGCATATTGACTTTCTAAACTTCATGAATACGGATGACAACACTGTGCTACCGCAGTACTTTAAAAAAATTGCTTTAGCTACCATAACTGTGATATCAGTTCGACAACAGTTGTGATAAACTGCAGATTGATTATTAGTTCTGATGTTAATCAATATAAACACTTCACATATCCACTATTTACATCTCACTCATCGACAACTAACTGGCGTTTTATTTCTTTTACCACGTGAGGTTCTGGTCGCCATTCTTTCGCACTCCGTGTCCGCTTTCACTTTGGCAGTTACCGATTCACAAGTTATGACAGATGCTTTTCTGCACATGATTTAATCTTGACGAAATGAGTACACGGGATGTGGTATCGATAGAAATGTACTTGTTTCAAAGAACTATTATACTGAAATTTAGCATCCGCCTCTGCTTGGCGATTAGGATATTTAAGTAGCTACAGATCGCCAAATGTGTAGACATTGACCTTACCTTTAGATCTTAATGCACGCGTTACTGTCGCAGCATTGGCGTGGTCGTTTCTTCACTGTTGTTTGGTCGCGTTACTTTGGTATTGCAAAGCTGAC